TTGGCTAAAGTTAGAAAATATTTTCATTTTCCACCCATTTTCTAGGCTATCAAACGGACCCTTAGAAAATGCGACTCATCTTATGCGTCTCAGAATTGAATTTGCCCCGAGCACCTCTAAGGAGAGGAGCCCCAATCAAGTTGAATGCGCACTACGTAAACTCCGCTCCATGTGCAATAGCCCGCAAACTACACAGGAGAGATAAACCACACTAGGCAAGCCCAGTGCAACGGGCTCGATCGAGGAAATGGTAGCGGGGGATTCAAACTCGTGCCCTTTGATTTCCGCGTTCACCTGTTCCACCAACTCGGCCACCCTGAAAGGGTTGAATCTTCTTAACTCCTGATTCTAAATGAGGAAGATATAGTAGAAATTTATTTCAAATTTGTGAGTCAAACAATTTATCGTTTCTATAATTATGTTATTTTTTGCATTTCATTCAGTTTAATCCAATGGATGTAGGGATCAATTATATGAAATCACATTAATGGTTCATGTAACCAACTCCAAATTTATTGACAATACATTTAATTAGTTACTGTCGTAATATTTTCTGCAAAACAACAATATTTTTAGGATTGTAGTTTATGTACTTCTAATAAATACAGTTATCTAACTCCTCGAATCGGGATACGTTTCCTTGAATTGATGTTAGGTCGAGTCCACCAATAAGTTTGTATTATGTTTTATTTATGCTACTAATAAAACATGTCACCCAGAGCGATTTAAAAAATTAATATTTATCTAATAATGCGAAGTAGTTGTTCATTTCTGCCAACATGGCAGCTAAAATTTGTCTGGGTAGAGCAANAAACATGTCACCCAGAGCGATTTAAAAAATTAATATTTATCAATTAATGCGAAGTAGTTGATCATATCTGCCATCATGGCAGCTAAAATTTGTCTGTGTAGAGCAATAAATCAAATGTACCTTAATTTCTCAGTCTCATACTGTTTTGTCCATGTCTCATATCAGCCAGGGGAAACTTTGTTAGGAGACATTGTTCGGAGCATAAAACAATGATAGAAGCTGTCTTTTACAATTGACACGTACTATAAATACACTAATGTATCAACCAATTTACAGTAACCAGTTAATGAAGAAAATTTTCGAGTAGATTATGGTTTACAAATGGCTTTGAAAGCTTTCTTGATCGCATTCCTCATTGCAATGGTTGCCACTCCATCTTTGGCAACTAAATATCTACGTGGGGCGGACGATGTTTGGAAACTAGGATTGAACTATTCAGCATTGGAAAAGGTAATAAGTATCCACATTGCAGGCACGCGCGGTATGTTAAATTGTTTAATGATTTTATACTGTTAAGTCGAGGGTGTTCGGTATACCAAAGATGAGTGAAAGATAGATTATGTAACAAAACTTGCTATATATCACGTTCAATCCTATTTTATATAGGGTATCAAACAAACATGTCAGTGTTTATATTTTTCCTTTATTGCTTTCATGTTCATATATACTCTTGTGGGTGCAGTTTTCATGTATAAGGAGGGATCTCATAATATTGTTTTGAAAATGAAGGAGAATGACATGCAACTATGCGTGGCGGCAAACACGTTCGATGCTCTGACTAATGGACATAGCTACCGTTGCGAAGCCTGGGAGGACGTACTGCAATTGTCGGCTTGCCGATCATTGCTTAAAAGGGGATGAAACGTCCGATTTTGAGATGACCATGTCTTAGAACAAGTAGAAACAACATATATTTTGAAGAAAATCAATCAAATGATTATATGATCTTTTATATAGCATATTTTAAAATCTTGAGATGACCATGCCTCTCTTCTTGCAATATTTTCAAATTTTATTATTGAAGTTGGACCTTAATTTGCCCCCTGCATAATCACCATCAACAACGAGGCCATTTTCATGATACTCGGATACAATAAGATGCATCATCTTCTCCTTTGAAAATAGAACATCATAGACTTTTTCAATGGTGAAAGTATCACGACTATATAAGATCGTATATCTAAAGACATATATGAAGCAGAAAAATAACATTAAAAAAAAAAAAAAAACCCCAAATCCTCTTCATCATATTTAATCTCCAAGGAGCGATGATTTCCTTAAAAATAGCTAGGTGATCGTCAACATACCATCAATTTTCTTGATCTTTGATGCTAAATAGGCATTAGCTTTGCAAAATTCTAAATTACGAAAAAAAAAAATGCTATTGGACTAGCTCTCCTTGGCCTCTCTCCTAAGGACCTACCTACCATCAAATCTAAGATATTTAGGAATTTTTTGACGGCTCAATTCTATATTCTTACCTTTTTTTTCCTTGGAAATTGTTTTGGTAACTATTTTTTTCTTTTTTTTTTACGAGCCTTTTCTTTTATTTAAAACAGGACTCTTCTGTCATACGATGAGAATATAGACGATGCTTCAAATGCAATTTCCTAGTTAGACTATTCATCACATATAATTGCTTCAATTTCAACCATAATGTAACGATTGTCTTCTCCTTCAAAACGTCCTGAAAAATATGATTCGAAACATGAAGATGAATTTGTGATAGGGCCTTTCGATCCATATGTTGTTTCTCCTTCAACATCTAAATTGTGGGTATCTTGTCAAATCCCAACAATACATCATCCAAATGCATTTGAGCGAGTAATACTCGCATCTTTACCTGGCACAATGAAAATCTTGTGTTGCGTTCTTATCATATGGATGGATTATAGTTGTGTGGTGAGTTTGATCATTAAATTTTAAAAAAGTGCTTATGTAGCATCATTTTCAGCCTATCATTTTCAATTTCATCTTTCATAAAGTTCTCTAGTAAAGCCTATTGAAATTGATGCTCATCAAAATGAGATTAATCTGATAAAAATTGAAATTATGATGTGTATGCAAATCAAGATTAAAATTGGTGCACTTCGAAAATTTGCCTTTTTTCTGGATTATATGAAATTATCCAGTTTACCATTAGCTTTGTTACTCCAACGAATATTGCACATGCAGAATATGCTGGGGGCAAGAGTATTGTTTTGACCCTTTCTCATATTAGATAAATTGGAAAGAGACATGCAATTTCATTGAGTAATGCCATTTTTGGAGCATAAAACTATGACAGACGCTGTTAGCCGGCTGATCTTTTACTATAATTGACAATTCCACACTATAAATACACTAATGTATCAGCACCATGATTACATCCTCTATCATTGAAAAACACAAGCAAATTGACTAAGAAAACTTTCCTAGGAAATTAAGGTTTCAAAATGGCTGCGAAATCTTTCTTGATCGCTATCCTTGTTGCAACGGTAGCTGTTCCATCTATGGCGACTCAGTATTATATGGTCGGAGATGATGCTGGTTGGAAAGTAGGTGTCAATTACACTGAATGGGCTGCAGGAAAGAAGTTTTACGTTGGAGATACAATCAGTATGTAAATAACTTTGTATTGAGCGCCCCTTCAAATGTTGTGTAATCTTTTGTGCTAAGATTTTATTGCCTGTCTAAAATCTTAAATTGTTAGATATCATGTATATTCAATGAAGGATAAAAGCTTATAAATAATTTTCCTATGAAATTAGCAAAATAATAGTTTTTAGGACTCCCTGTACTTCTTTATAAAAAATTGTACACGTCTGACCTTGTTCAAAACATGAATCTTGCTTGCATATTAGGCAGCACTGTGAAGACAAGATATAAATGAATCAATAATGTCCTTCTCTAATAATACAAGGTGGTTGGAGGTTTATTTCATACACAGAGAAATTTACATTGCCAACATAAGCAAATAATGAGAAACATCATGGTTTTTACATCGACCATGGGATTACTAGCATATTTCAATGCCTAGATAGAATTTTTAACATGTTCGACAAAGATTAGCTTATTTTTATAAGGAATAGGGCCTACACATTGTCCCATCGAGTTCAACGTAGTAAACATGGAAACACAAACACAATTGTAACAAAGCCTTTCTTGTACTTAGCTTTTCTTGATTCACACAAATCTTGTGTGCACTCCCTTATTTAACACTATGGTTTTTGGTGCAGAGTTTCTCTACAAGCAAGGATCTGACAATGTTTTGAGAGTGGATGGCCCTACTTTCCAAAAATGTGTGGCATCAAACACGACTGGTCTTCTAACTAGTGGAAATTAGGGGTGTCCAAAAGTCCCGAACCGAACCGGACCGAACCGAACCGAGCGGTTCTTCATAAATTAAATACCCGAACGGGTACCCGAATCGAGAACCGATGGGTTTGGGTCGGGTCTCGGGTCTAGACCA